GGACGGAGATAGTGTCCCTAGTCTCTGTTTTGCCAGAAGCTGGGAGTGGGAGATAGCGATGGATGGCTTGATGATTACCTGTTTCTGTTCATTCCTTCGGAAGCACCTGGCTTTGGATTTTTGCCTCTCTTCCCCCATGCCCTCTTTAATGTTGGTGTCAGTGTTATCATTTAGGAGCGAGTTACATTATAGAACCATTCCGTTCTCAGGATAACCTGGTCACTGAGTGCGGAAACAGACTTTGCAAAGGTGCTTCAGAATATTTCTGTTTTTTTGGCTACATTGCTGGAAATAATTTTGGAGTCACTGTGGCTTGGTCTGAGGAGAAGGGTCAGAGCTCTGGAGATGGGATAAAAACCATCTCTGTGCAGAAGGGCAGCATAAGGGTCCGCCAGTGGATAAATCCTACAGGAGGCTTAGGTGGGGCTCGGTAGCTGGAGATGACCTTCTGCTGGCGCCTCTAAAAAGGGGTGAAGTTCAACCACAGAGAATTATCAGTCTCAATACAAAAGCAATAGATCACTGACACTCGCACCCCACCTTCCAGTCCATAATCCTCCCTCAGGGCTCCGCATTCCCACTGCTCTTCGCTAAGGGCTCAGCGTCTCCATTGACTTCAGTGGGAGAAGGAGAGACCCGTAAACTGCAGAGTATCTGATCAGAAAGCTCTGGTGGGTCACTGGGGGCATTCACAGCGCGAGGGCAGATGCACCTGTTCTTTCCTCCTGCTCCGTGAAATACACTCTGGGCATCCGCTCCCTGCGCTCCCCGGGGGAGATGGAGTCAGCAGAGCCTCTGTCTCCTCGTACAGCTCTGTGCGGTGTCCGTAAGGGGAGATCCTTTGTGCCTGTTCTCCGTGCTGTGGAACAGAGCTGCCCTCCCCGGTCTCTGCAGGGGAAGGTTTTTGTCTGAGCCCGGACTGGCTTCTCCTCACTGTGTGTCTCGCGCAGTAATACATGGCGGTGTCCTCGGGTTTCAGGCCTGTCATTTGCAGGTAGAAGTTGGCGCTGTCCTTGGAGGCTGTGAATCGCCCCTGGATGGAGGAGGAGTAGTAATTCGTGACTGAAGATTGTCGATAGTGAACCAGCCACTCCAGTCCCTTTCCCGGCAGCTGTCTGACCCAATCCATCCACCAGTCATTAGGAACAAACCCGCTCACGGCGCATTTCAGCTGGGTGGATTCTCCGGGCTTCTTCACTTCAGGACCGGACTGGGTCAGAACAACCTGCGAACGGGCCCCTGGAGAGGGGGCGATGAGGGAGGAGGGAAAAGAGGGAACAGTGAAGGAACCAGTCAGGTTAAATACATTCTCAATCAATTAACAGGAATAAAATAAATAAAAAACAAAGAAAGAAATAAAATCGTGTTTACAATATAACTACATTCATGCCAATAATATCACATCTGCCAGCATGTCCAATGTGTTCAGGGGAAGAAAATACCTGACAAAGCTGCTACAATGAAAAGTAAGTGGAGCCAAAGTCTCATTTTCCCTGATGTTGGAGGGGAAACGTCTCGGGGAATTGGCTGGTCTCTGCCCAGACACAGGGGGCTGCGGATTGTCTCTCCGGATGCAGCGTGGAGAGACTGAGCGAGAGATTTAAACAGGAACCTGCCACCCGTATTTGCATATCCCACTCCTTATAAGAGATACAAACACCTCCCTTAATGGTCTGAATTACTGTCATTGAGTCTCTGATAGGAGTCTCCTTAGGGGTCGCCAACCTTTCAGAAGGTTTATTTCATTTATTCACTCTGATTTAAGGTTTCGTGTGCCAGTCATACATTTTAACGTTTTTAGAAGGTCTCTTTCTATAAGTCTATAATATATAACTAAACTATTCTTTATCCCTACGTAAAAGGATAAATGGACACAAATCAGATATTAGGAATAGCAATATACAAAAACCTGTAGGAGAACACTTCAACCTCCCTGGACACACAATAGCAGATTTAAAGGTATCCATCTTGCAGCAGGACCACACTTCAAAGAGAAATTGCTGAGCTTCAGTTCATCTGCAAATTTGACACCATCAGCTCAGGATTAAACAGACTGTGAATGGCTAGCCAACTACAGAAGCAGTTTCTCCTCCCTAGGTGTTCACACCTCAACTGCTAGAAGAGGGCCTCACCCTCCCTGATTGAACTAACCTCGTTATCTCTAGCCTGACTCACTCTTGCTTGCATATTTATAGCTGCCCCTGGAAATTTCTACTACATGCATCCGAAGAAGTGGGTATTCACCCACGAAAGCTCATGGTCCAATATGTCTGTTAGTCTATAAGGTGCCACAGGACTCTTTGCTGCTTTTACAGATCCAGACTAACACGGCTACCCCTTTGATACTAAACTATTGTTGTATGTAAAGTAAATAAGTTTTTAAAAATGTTTAAGAAGCTTCATTTAGAATTAAATTAAAATGCAGAGCCCCCTGGACCAGTGAGCAGGACCCGGGCAGTGTGAGTGCCACTGAAAATCAGCTCCATGCTCCCTTCGGACCGCGTGCCATAGGTTGCCTACCTGCCCCCTGCAACTCTTTACTGCGTGTTTGTGCAGCGCCTGGACCATCGCGGTGAGACCCTGATTATACTTTCACATCACTGGGGAAATAAGGAGAGGATGTCAATGATGTCACTTAGCTCCCATTAATGTCTAGGGACTGCTCTTAAATCGACCGTGCTGAAGGGAAATATTCCCAGTGTCTTTAGTGGGTCTTGGCTCATGCTGTGTGAGAGAAGAATGTTTGGCCAGAGAGCAGGACAGATA